AAAAAAAAAAAAAAAAAAACATGAATATTTATCTAAACCTACTGCAAAATATGTCTACTATGTTTAGCTGGTATTTATTATTTCAAATCCTAGAATCCCTTAGAGTCCCTTACTTCAGGACAACATAATCCGCGAATCTGAGCAAACAGCAGAGCTCCTGTGCGAGAGACGAGGCTTCAGTGGTCATTTTAAGGAATTAGTTACACCTGACGTACCTCTCAGACAGTCATGAAGCTTAAACCTTTCAGTCAAGCCGTTCCCAGACCTCGCGATTCTAAATCAAATTGTTTATCAAAAATTACATGTATAGGTTTATATTGACGTATCCTCAAGTACGCAGCGCGCTCTGCAACTTATGCCAATCAACACCTATCGCACAAATCTGATTGGATGTGCCGGTGGATTTTAAATTAAGCATCTGTGGTTTGGCTTCTTGGATTGGTGGAATGTTCACTAGTTTTGCACTAGCAGCTGCAAACCCAAGATCCCGTTTTTATAGGATAATTCTACGACTCGGCTGGGAAATGTGATCGTGGATCAGCATATTTATGCATTGCGTGAAGTAACTACGTGAACTGAACTCTTCTGGGACGGACAGAGAGATCGAAAAACAGTAGAAGCTGACAGCAAGGAGATGAGCAACGTGTATGAGAAAGAAGAAATTCTGCTTTGGGAAAGAGTTTATTTTAGGAACTGAACAGACCGGAGAATCAAGGATACGGGAGCGTTCTCACTTTGACGGTGTTGTGCTCCCTCCTGCTGGATAAACTAAATATGACAGAAGATCTTGAGATTTTCTGTCTTTAAAAGTTTAAGCTTGGTGCAGATTCTCGGGTGGTAGGTAAATAAACATTTTAAAATATTACAAAAAAAAGACAGATGAAATGAAATCAAGCCAGGGAGCAGCAAACAACGTAACAACATCTCAAATAAAAATTAAGTACAATAATTATTCCTTAATTATGCAGAGCTTTGGGACATGTGAAGGGTATGTGTCTGTTCATTTCACTGTTACAGTTTCACTGTTACATTTTACAGTCACGATTTATCTGTTACAGTTTCACTGATACAATTTTAGTTTACAATTACAGCAGTACCTCAGTTCTTGAACTATTTAGAACTCGAATTTCTTAAAAGTCGAACCAACCAGTTCGAAAAAAAATGACCTAGAACTCGATTTGAATCTCAGAAGTCAAACCGTGCTTAGATGTGTTTAGTTCAGTATATGCACTTCTTGATTTATTCGGTTCATTTTGTGTTTAA